ACGAGTCACCCAGCGCAGAGGGGGCAGGCCCGCCACCCGCACACTCCCACGGCGAGGGCTGCTCCCCAGTGTAATTCCCTAGCACCCTCAGCCACCCCAAATCAAACCAAAATACCAAGTGCTCTCCTCCACCCCAAAAAAGCTCCAGCTCCAAAGTTGGCCAGAGATGCAGAGAAGGGGTGGAAGGACAGCGCAGGGACCTGTCCCTAACAGGGAGCCCCTGCCGGGACTGCCTCGCTCTGACTCCTTGCATCAAGTCTTCTCCCCGTCACAAGAAGGAGAAAGGAGGGGAAACTCCCGCTCAGACAACAGTTCATCTTGCAAGCTAACCTCCCCACAACAAGGGCGCCTATAGTGTTGTTTCTGGTTAGACAGTATGAAGGACATATACTTAGTGCAAAATTTTCAAACACATAACCATAGCAAGTGTAGGGGGGGACCCTTGAAATGAATCATCTGTAATCACTGCAATGAGCTGAGCCCCCACTGCCATGTTCACAGCCTTCCTACCCCAAACTGCATCGTGCAAACCTCCGCACACAGTTTGATGAATAGCGCCACAAACTGCTGCTTTTATTGTGCACACCTCGATCTTTCCCTTCCCCTTCTTCTTACTGCATGGCCCCTCCTCAGGACCCTCAGGGTTGCTTCTGCAGCCTGCAGTTCTGGCTCTGCACCATTCCCAGCCCCGACAAACACATTCACCACCTTGCCCTGGCCCTGACTTAGTCACCCAGTGCTCATGCTTTACACAATCGCCTAGGGGTCACAGAAGCAGCCTGGCTGTGCAGAAGGGCCAGCTACACCCCACCCTGACCTTAGCACAGCCCCTTCTCCCTCCAGCAACCATCCATGGCTGACTCCTAAGAGATACAAGAAGAGCAAAGGCTAACCGGGCCTGCAATGTTCTGCTCATTTAAAGCAAGTCACCCAAACCTTAACATACCAGCTCCTTTCCTCTCGCAGGGACAAGCTACCCAACACCCACAACTTGAAGGAGAGGAGGTTTAATTAGGCTCACAGTTCAAGGAACTCATTGATGGTCCATGGCTCCAAAGCAGGAACATCATGGTGGAAGGGCACAGCGGAGAAAGTACGCTCACCCAGGGACGGTCAGGAAGCAGAGAGAGAAAAGAGACAGGGACAAGAATCCACCCTTCTGGGCCCTGCCTCCTAACAGCTTGGTCAGCTATAAACTCATCAGTATGCAAATCCACTGGGGAGCACAGCACCTACACACACAACCTGATCATCCTCCACACACAGGAGACCTTGGGGGACATTTTAGATCTGAACTATAACCCTTGGCCTGAAATTCCCTCTAGGTAAAGACACATTCAATGGCTACTTGAAAAGCTATTGTGAAGACTAAGAAAGATAACAACACCAAAGTGTGGCACCTCGCCTGGCCCAGAAGACAGGGCTCCAGGAGGTTCAAGTCCCCTTCCCTGTTAACACTCTCCTGCCTCCCCGTGAGTGCTGTCTCCTGCCTCTTTCTGCTATGCCTTCAAACATCCAAGTGCTCCCTCTCCTAAATCTTTAGTCTTCATCTGCCCTTCAGTAATGGGCAAATGCGACCTCCAAGGATTCTCACCTCCTAAA